GCTGTTTGTTTTTTAATAAAACAACTTAACTAGCTAGAGCAAACAGTACTCATTATCCTTGTTATTACTGATTTGAAATACTATGTGTTATAGTGTACATATTATCAGGGGAATTATGTCTTAATTCACAATAATATATTGCTTTCCTCTTTTTACTTTAGAGATAAAATAGGACAGTTGTTTATGTAAGTATCTTAAAGATCTTGAGGGAATTTAAAGAATGCTAAATGCTTGAGAATGGAGTGAAGTTCATGATGAATAGCTACTCTCATGGTGGATACTCAACCATTAACAATATGCCATGCCAGTTTTTAGCCAGGACAAATTCTTTTTTTTTTTTTTTTTTTTTTTTTTTTGGATTTTCGAGACAGGGTTTCTCTGTATTGTTTTGGAGCCTATCCTGGCACTCACTCTGTAGACCAGGATGGCCTCCAACTCACAGAGACCCGCCTGCCTCTGCCTCCCGAGTGCTGGAACTAAAGGCATGCGCCACCAACGTCCTGCCCCAGGACACATTCTTATCCAAAGTTTACTATCAAAATTACAAGGGAACAGCATTAGCTCTTGAACATACTAAAAGATGTAGCATAAATGTAAAACCAATCAATCTGGTTTTGAGTTCACATTTGCTTGGCTGATACAGTAAATGAATATTTTTCAGTATATGTATACAGTGTACACACACACACACACACACACACACACACACACACTGAAATCATTTGTCTATGAGTCCATCTAGTCCATTGATAGTCAACGCGGGAGACGGCTAGAATTCTTCCCTAGTAGGTAATCCTTCCATTTGAACTCACTAACAATTGTACAAGTTTTACAATGCATTTGACACAAGAGGAAGTAGTAGTTGGCAGTGTAAGGATTCGGGCATTACGCTGGCCTGCCCCTGTCACCTGGCAGAATGCACTCAGGCAGTCCCCTGGTCAGCCCAGGGTTCCATGAATACTAGTCTGTGGACAGGTGTAAAGGACCCCTTTAAAAGACAGACCCTCTTCGCCCACTTACTCTTCTCTCTTTGCTCTCCCCCCCCCCCCCCTACTCTTTTCTGTTCCTGGTGTCTCCATGTCTCTTTATCTTCCCTGTCACTCCCCCTTCTAAATAAACTTCTCATTCAAGCTCTGTCTGCCTGGCGTGTTATTCCCTCTGCACCCTCGTCTGCTATGGGACCTGCTATGCTCTCCCACGTGGTCCCTTACCTTGGTACCCCTACTCAGGACACCACCTCTTTCCAGCTTTTTCCTATAACTGTAACAAAAGAACAACAGGCAGTACTTTCTGTAACATGTGGTCATCTTTAATGCACATAAAAACTTAGTCCAGCAATGGATACACACCCCAGCCATAGCTGGGAAATCGTGGGGGCAGATGATCCAAGTGGTAAAAATCTCTTCCATTGTTTCTCAGGCATTTACTATGTTATGTGGTTCTTTGCTTCAAACATGAGAAAAACCAATAGAATGTGTTACTGCTAACTTAAGCCCCAGTCCTCTTCCACATCCTCCGGTTCTTTCTCTAGAAAGATGCTTATTCAGACTGGGCTGAGACAAATTCTCAACTTGGTTTCCATCTCTGTAATAGTTACTGATCAATCATTTTTATGTTTATTGGGCATTTGGAACCCATCTCTTGAAAACTATTCTCATATCCGTAGCCCATCATTTTATGAGTTCCTTTATATTCTACACATTAATCCTATCATGTTCAGCTATCAAGGTTCTGTAGTGTCTTGTTCCACCACGCTCCAAAAGCGCCCACCCCAGCTCCCAGCCTGTAACGACTTCCAGCGCTCAGTCTCCTCCCACAGACTATGCAAGAGATCGGCAGATCACTAACTCCCGGAACCAGAACCACCTGACTGGCTACAAACCTCCAACTAGACCTCCTAGGCAGAGGTACCGCCCCTTCCGGCAAGTGTGGCGCGTGCGCAGTGGAAAGAGGCGCGGATCTGGTTGGGTAAAGCTTCGAGGGCTATAGCAGCGACGGCGCAGGACATAAGCGTCATCAGCAGGCGCGGGTCAGTGTCGTCCTCAGAGTGCGTCCCTGCCTGGCCTTGGTCCCTTAGCAACGTCTTCGGGCCCTCCCCCTCCTTTTCAGACCCTTTCCGCGGCCTTGCCTACAGGGATGCTTCACCGAAATCTGCCTGAGATCCGGAGAAGGGAAACGGCCTAAAAATGAGTATGTGTGAAAAGTAACTTCCAAGCACCTCACATCCTGGTAATAGGTATCAAACGGAAAGGGGAAGCTCGGGGGGCGTGTTTCTGCCGTGACAGAAGCAGCCCTCACAGGCTCTGACACAGGCTCCCGGTGTTCATCTTCCTTCCGGTGCAGGAGGCTCGGTTTTCTTATTAGCATCACATATACACTGACAAGTCTCGTCCTTGCTGCTTATCACTAATCCTAAGGCTATCCGCAGACTCGTAGTTGGCTCTTCCTTTTTCTCACAGTGCTCAGAGCACGTTTACTAAAGGTGCTCTGAGACTTGTGGGAGGACTGTGGGAGTGTGCTAAGATGGAAATTATGTCAGTCACTGTGTGCGTGCAGAGAAAAGCTCCCTGATCTCCACAACTGTGCCCTGCAACAGCCTTTTCTCTTGTCAGGCAGGAGAGGAGGAGCAACCCCATTGGATACCAGACCAACTTGAATTCACCCTGGGTGGGCAGTCCTTCCACACCTTTCTGTGCTCTGTCTTCTGTATTCCATGAAGTGTGCTTTGTCTATCACATTCCGTTCATCTCAGGAAGGTCCTAGAACACGAAGCCACTCTTATGAGATTCTGCATCATTGCTTGTCCACACTCGTGGCCTGGAGAATGGTGTGGCTTCCAGTCTATCTCAAGCTGTGGTCCATTGCAAAGAGTGACATGTGCCTATGGCCTGATGGGCTCCAGCCACCCCTTCATTTACTGGTATAGAGATGTTGCTTTGGGTCCAAGGACAGCTCACAATCTCAGACTTGGGAGCCCTATCTCTGCTTGATCCCTCTCATTACAAAGGGAGCATCTGGGTGTCCATCCATCCCTAATCTTGCAAAGTCCCCAGAGTCACACCTGGGTTCATACTTCAGGCTCCCTTGTGACTGGGCCTGGGATGAGGCAGAACATGGTGGTGTGGTAAGTCAAGTGCCCCATCTTAAGGTGGCCAGGAAGCAGAGACCAGGAACAGGAAGGGACCCAGATCAAAACACACCCTACCTTTAATAGATCTGCCACTTACCAATAACCATTTGAAACATCATCCTTAACAGATGTGTCCAGCCTGTGACCCAGGGCCCACAGGCATCCCAGGAACTATGGCTGTAATCCAACACATGTGCATGAAGTCTATCACAATGTCAAAATGTGGATACCCTGGAAAATACAGATTATACCAGACACAGGTGTGCGAGTTTCTAAAGTTCCTGGCGTCTCTCAGTCCTCAAGCCCCTGGCAATGATACAGACCATCAGGAGGTCCTGGGAGCAGGAAGACAGAAAGGTCATGAGTTCAAGTGCAGCTTGGGCTAGAGTGAAACACCGTTTCAGGAAGGAAAAAGAAAAGAAAAGACCCCTCAACAGCTGAGGATGCAGCCCGGTGGAAGAGTTATGCCTCCCATAGTTTCTATGCCTCAGCCTGAGTGGGCTCCCTTCACATTGCTGGGGAGATGGTGTTCACAAGCTCATTTTCCCAGTCTGTGTTCATCATGAATTCAGTCCCTGCTCAGCACTATGCCCTGGAACGTAAAACATGAACCCTGAAGATCCAGCTCATCAGAGATCACCACGTGCACGAAGCCTTCCTCATGCCCCAGCCCTCTCCAGCCTTGACCTGGCAGTGTTGTAATATATCCATGACCTCTACACCTACACCTGGGAAGACACTGGGCCCAAAGCAGGAAACGGAAAGTGGGGGGGGGGACTGAATGTCAGAGCAGATCACCTCTGTGTTAAGTCATCAATGTTGTATATTATTCCCCAACTGACACCCTGTCTCCAGAGCCTACATTCCTCTGGACTTTCCCCAGGAGCCTGAGAACAGGTAACACCACAGCCTCACTGAGGCTCTGCTTGATTTTTATTCCAACTTTACCTTTTCATAACCCTAGCAGATATTCTACTAGAGCTGTTGGTATGGCAGTCACATTAAGGGCAGGAATCTACCTGTGACCTCTGAGCAATGACAGGGACACAGGATGGGAAGAGAGAACACCACTCAGGACTGGAGGAAGCAGGCTGTGGGACACAGATGGAGGCAGAGAGGCCTGAGGGGGCTCAGGGAGGAACTGGAGGAGGCTGGGAGTCTCCACACCAGGATGAGCCCATCCATCTCTCCTCTTCTTCCTGCTGCATGTTGCAAGTAGATCAAGAACAGAGAAGGTCAGGGGCAGCATCAGGAGAGGGAACACAGCACTCCAATGCCCAGATGAGGCTTTCCCAAGTTTTGTATGACATTGGTTTCCAGGATTGACACATGTGTACCCCACTTGGTCTTTGTGGACAGGACAGAGGGGGGCTGCTTTAGAGATAACCCACAGGGCTGTAACTGGGGGCTTGCATTCTCAGTTTTGTGAACTCAACCTTGCTATGAGTGGGCTAGCCTGACCTGTAATTATCTGGATGTGACATTCATCTCATCCTTTACTGAAGGCCACCTCCTCAACATAGACACTTCTGGGCTGGGCAGGGAATGGCAGGGGGCAGGGCAGGGCAGGGGGCAAGTCAGGCAGGGGGCAGGGGCAGGGAAGGCAAGGCAGGGGGCAGGGGCAGGGAAGGCAAGGCAGGACAATTCCTTGGGTCTTGACTTTTGTCTCCTTTCATCACCACTTCTCCCCCTGCTCCAGCCCTGGTTTCTTCCCTCTGATGTCCAAGGTCTACATGAATATATCCCGAGGACTTGTTCTCTTGAGATGACAGACAAGTTAAATCACACATCCCATGCGGGCACACAATTGTTAGCTGAAAAACACAGTGTAGATGAGGTCAATGCACAAATACATCTCAGTGCCTCCTCCTCACCTCCTGGCTTCGGGTGTCTTGCCATTCTTCCCTTTGATTGGAACTACTTTGTTCCTGGAGACCTGACCTTTCCTCTGGACTGGCATGCAGCAGCACAGTTTTACTGCACAGTTCACCACTCTCCTCATCACTCTCTTCCAGCCTGGGCAGTGTCTGTGAGTACAAGCTATCATCACACTGTCAGTCTGGTCATTGGACAAGGACACGGGTTCTGATGATAGATCCCCAGATGATGAGCCACTTTCTGTTGTATGAGCACCCTTGGTGGTCAGGGTCCAGAGTTCTTCCCTGGGAAGTGAGCTTTTTTCTGGAGGTGTGTCCTGAGAGCCCACATGACTCTCAGGCTCAGCACCACAGCTACTCCTGGAGTGGGTGCAGAGGGCAGTAGCATCATCATAATGGCAGGCTTCCCTGAAATAAGAGATGGTCCTCTTCAGCAGACAGCGCTGGGGATCAGTATACATGATGGCCCTCTTGATTCCCTTCATTCTTAAATGCGTCTCACCATTGGGAAGTTGACATTTATCGGGAAGGGTGTGAAGGGCAGGCTTGCTGGCTCTCCGGTTCAGGGGAAGAGGGGAGGTGGAAAGATTGGTAGGGGTCACACAAGGTGTATCACCTGGCTGCACAGGCGTCACTTGGTTCTCTTGGCTACTCTCCCAGCTGCTCTTGTGTTGTAACATCAGATACGTAGCCATTGTTTCATTGAAAGTTTGCACTTTTAAAGATTCCAGAACCTCATTAGGGTCATACCCCAAATTAGCCATGCTGATTAAGATAATGGGGTTTGGGAGACTGGGGAACTGCTCCAAGGAAAACTCAAGAGAAGGAATCTCACCTTGTGTGAGCCATGGGTGGTGCATGATGCAGTCTATAGTGGCCCTCTTGCTGGGGTCAAGGGTGAGTAACTGCCTGATTACATTTAGCACATTTGCAGAAAGATAAGATGGGCAGTAGTATTTCAAACACAGGATCTTCTGCTTTATCCCGGGATTGGTAGGTGCTTGAAAAGGGAGGCACCCTGTGGTCATAAAGTAGAGCAGGACTCCCAGGCTCCACATGTCGGCCGCAGGCCCATCATAGTCTTTCCCCTGCAGGAGCTCTGGGGCACAAAATGGGAGGCTGCAAAAGAAAGAGTGCAGCTTCTGCCCAGGGCTCACCTGAACACCCACCCCAAAGTCACTGAGTTTGATGTTGCCCTCGCCATCCACCAGGATATTTTCTGGCCTCAGGTCCCCATGCACCACACCTTTTGAATGACAGTAATGCACAGCACTCCCAATCTGCTGGAATAATCGGCGGGCCTCCTCTTCCTGCAGATGTCCATCCTCCTGGATCCTGTCCAGCAGCCCTCCCCCACTCGCATATTCCATCACGAGGTAGGTGTTGACAGTGGTGTTGATTATCTGATAAAGCTGGATGACATTGGGATGACTGAGGGATTTCATGATGTCAATTTCAGATGTGACAAAGGAGGAATTTCTTGGCAGGACTTTCATTGCCACCTGGGTCTTGGTTAGGAGGTGGCAGGCGAGCTTCACTTCACCAAAGCTGCCTTGGCAGATAGTGTTCAAGATCTTGTAACTATTTCTGAGGGGTGCCTCATCGAAGACTGTGACCTTGAGGTCCAGCACCACCATTATCACGCCAATTAACAGTGCTAGGTTAAAAATTAAAATAACCGAAATCAGTTCTCAGAGGGAAACATGACTCTAATTCCCACATTAGAAAGGCAGAGTGGGCAGTGCTCTTGCTACTTCCTGCCCAGCTTGCTGCACCTGCTGTGTGCCTGGGAAACGAGTTGCCCGAAACACATCTCAAATAGACAATTTAATGATGCTCCTCAAGGCCACAGAAAACCAAATCAAACCAAGCAGTAGACTTCAAAAGCAGAAAAAGCAGAGCAGGAGTGAAGGAGATGGAATGTAAAGGAATATGAAAGCTTGTAGAGATGGAGCATTAACTGAAAGCAGTGCTGCTGAAAGCCTGAACCCAGGTCACAGAGAACGTGAATAAAATAAGAGATAAAAAGGCTACATTATTATAGCCGATGCCACTGACATCCAGAGCACAGGTGGGGTATTTTGAAAACCTACATTCCATTGAACTGGAAACATCTGGAATAACAGCTATTTCTAGACTCACATAGCCCACCAACATCAAACCAAGAAGCGGAAAACACCAACAGGCAACAAGATCAAAATAGTGATTAAATAGTCCCCAGAAAAGAACCCCCAGGGCCAGATGGATTCACTGAGGACCTGAAGACCCTTTACAGAAGGACCACACCATACCAACATTCAGTTCCCTAAAGCAGAAAAGGAAAGAGCCCACCCTACAAAGCTGGAAGGATTCTGACATCAAAGCTAGAGAGAGGCACAAACAAAGGGAAAATTATAGGCAAATTTCCAGGACAGGTGTAGATGTGAAAATTCTTTATAAGAATACTTAATACTCTACACCAAATTAAATAACACATTAAGAAGGCCTTACTTCATGACTAAGATGAGATTGTTCACACAGAGAGAGACAGAGAAAAGAGAGAAGGAGGCAATGGAATCAAGGACGAGGAAAACACACTTAGCCATAAAGAATGACTGTCATTTTCAGGAAAATGGGTAGAACTAGAGATCATGTATTAAAAACTCTATAGAGCTGGCTAGGTGACTCAGGCAATAAAGGTGGAACCCACAGTGAAAGGAGAGAACTAACTTCTAAAAATTGTCCTCCTACCTCCACACGTGCTATAGAATATGCACAGATACAAAAATAAATTAAAAAACAAAAAACTCCCAATACCTATCTATAGTCTGAGCCCTAAATTCCTAAAGCCAAACCAAGAAGCCAGGAAACAAGTTCACTATGTCAAAGCCCAGCAGGTCAAATTCAACAAATCACCAATGTCCAAGTCCACAACCCACCAGCCAAGAGCTGTCCAAACTGTAAAACCCAGCTACAGCCTGTGCTTCTTATGGACAGGGACCTTGTATTGCTCATAATGGCTCCATGTGATGTCAAAGGAAGAAACAGATCAACCCCAGTTGGGCACACTCCACAGCAAGCACACCCCTACAGAGTGTTTCAGTTTTCCTTCACTGAGACTATACTAGGTTTCTCATCATTGTGAGCAAAACCCTAAAAAGAAGCAACTTAGAGGAGGAAGGGATTTCTTCGACTCTTACTTTGTGGGAGCAGTGGAGACATTGGGGTGGGAACCACTAGTTCTTGACACAGAAGCTATATGGCTGCTTGAGGTGGCTAGTCATACTGTGTTCCATCCCCCACCCCAGTGCCCGTCCGTCCACTTCTCTGAGCTAGAAGCCACCTCTCCAGGGTTCTATAATGTCCCCAGGCACCACCTTCTGGGATCAATTGTTCAAACACAGAAGACATCTCCAATCCAACCCATCGTGTCTGCTAGAATGCCAGCGGCTCCAGAGAGGAGGGTAAGTCTGATATATGGGGAGAGTTGGGTGAGTGAGAAAACCCACAAGCACTGGCAGGGGAGGGTTGCACTCACTGCTGGGTTGGGACATATTAACCAATTAACTGATTTGTTAGAAATCTAAGTTCTTTTAATAGCAGATTTAGAAGCCTTTGGTTAAAGTGTGCTCATTTCTCATCTGGGCTCACCAAATGGTCCTGCTAGAGCTTCTATAAAGGGACTGGTCCTGCAGAAAGATACCAGCAAGATCTCCAAGACACAGGATAGATATCCCAGAAAAGCTATGGTGAACATCAAGTGATGATAGTGTACCTACAACCAGAGGCCTTGAACCAGACCAATGACTCATTGCAGTGGACAGTTGCCAGTCAAGCTGATGGAACAAAAGTGTATACCATATGATACACTGAAGCCTCCAATGACATCAGGATGGATGGAGAAGCAGAAGAGGAGAGGCACAAATTTTGTTTTGAATATGGTATGTTCTTGTTATTGTTTTGTTTTCATGGTTTTTTTTTCTTTTTGTGTTCTTGCTTTTGTTCACTTGCTTGTTTACTTTGTTTTGTTTTCTTTCATGGGGGAATGCAACAGGGGTGAAGGAGAAATATGGTGGGCCAAAAAGAGACAAGAATCGGGGTGTGTGAAGTGAAACCCCCAAAAATTCAATTAAGAAGTTGAAAAACAAGGAAAGAAAAGAAAAACTGGTTCGAAACAAGTCAAACTAAGGCTGGGCACTTAAAAGTGATAATAAGATTTCATGTGGCTGGTTGGTGGTGGCACATGCCTTTAATCCCAACACTCAGGAGACAGAGGTAGGTGGATCTCTGTGAGTTCAAGGGCAGCCTGGTCTACTGAGTGAGTTCCAGGACAGACTCTAAAGCTACAGAGAAACCCTGTCTTGAAAAATGGAAGGAAAGAAGGAAGGAATGGAAGGAAGGAAGGAAATTAAAAAAAGAAAAAGACTGTGTGGATTTATCTGGGAGCTGGGTAACAGACCCCCAAAAGAGCTAAAGAGCAAAAGAGTAAAGCGACCAACAATACCAGGCTGGGACTTCCAACCCTAACCCTAACTCTAAGCCTGTGACTGCTCAGGCACCCAGCTTTGAGGACTGAGTAACTACTGAATTCCCAGACTCTCCAGTGTGTGAACAGCCATTTGGGGAGTACTCATCAGTTTTCACGGAAGCTGGTCTAACACGTTCATTGCAATATATAACTATTGTACCATGCCCTGGAGCCATACCCTGGAGCAGACACAGTGGAAATGTGCAGCTTTGGCCTAGGCATAAGCTCAGCCATGATCCCTGTAGGATGAGAAGGAGGGTGAGTTTGAAAGGATGGAAAATACAGCCTAACAGGCCCTTGAGTACATGATCCTGGCCTAGTAAGAGAACAGGAAATGAGCTGACTAACTGCTTATCTGACTTCGGTAAACTGCTTGTGAAACACCTGCCCCAGTGACCTATCCTAACTGCCATTTGTCAACCCACCCAGGAGCCCACGCAAATGCAGACCTCTGGGGCTATAGAAAACTGATTGGTCTATAAAGCGAGGGCTTGGATGATTTAAAATGATTGGTATAGAAACTATAGAATGGTTTAAATTGATTGGCCCACACCTCGCGGGCTCTTGATGCTATGGGATGATTGGTTTGCAATGTGTGGGCTTTGTTGTAAACCTTATAAAAGCTGTCTCGATTCTGCACTCAGGGTCCTCAGTCCTCTACCCCTGCGTGGCGTATGACTGTGGACCCGAGCGCACTTGGAATAAAAGTACTCTTGGTGTTTGCATCAAGACCGCTTCTCGTGTGTAATTTGGGGTGTTTCCTTTCCTGAGTCAGAGTGTGAAGGTCCTCGCTTTGAGGGTCTTTCAAGTTATGCCATTGACTCACTGGCCATGAGTAACATGAAGCTAGAGAAGAAATGAGAGAAAGAGGTTGGATGTGGTAACTCAAGACTACTAAGGGCTCCCAGAGGGGCTTGCCCTTCGTTCCAAAGTGAAAAGGGTAGAGGAAGGAAGAAAGGAGTAGGTTTCCTGGTAAGACAGGAGCTTGTTGAGAGGAAGGCTCACCAAATATGCTACCAGAGGAAGACTCAGGGTTGTCCCATGAAATTCAGGTTCTTTGTGTCTCAAAAGAATTGAGCAAGACAGAGTAGCTGTTATAATTTTTTAAAACAACAGAAGAGAGAGATGCTATCATGTAACAGGGCTCATATGGAGGGTTTTTTTCTTGGGGGAAGGACTGGGAAAGGGGAGAAGGGAGGGTAGAGACTGGCCTCTGGAGATAAAAGTGGCAGAGGAGAGAGAGAGAGGAGGTGGGTTGGGCTGCCTTTAGGAGGGGACATAGTATAGCTGATGACATTGTTGGGACCCTGAGAAGGTCAGAGTACTACCTGAGTACTGACAAGCACATCCTGCCAGGTGACAGAGGGCAGGCCAGGATAATGCCCGAATGGTAACAATAGTAACAATGAAAGTACAGATCTATTAAAAGAAAGTAAAGGCTGGAGAGGTGGCTCATTCATGAAAGTGCTTATCACACAAGCATGAGAACCAGAATTCATAAGTACTGCCATGTCACATGTTTGTAACCCAAGGCTGGGGACATTATGACATCTAAACAGGCTTAAAGGCCTTTGAAGATGGATTCCATCCTCACCCTCCATTTTGGACTCAATCCTGTGTTTTCTTGATAACACAAGAAAGGGAAGCATAATTCCTCCTTCTTAGGCCTTAAAATGATGTGTAAAAGTGAAGTTATAAGGGCCTTGTTGAGGCATTCTTGTGTATAGAAACTAGAGGCTGAAACATCAAGGTTACCCTCTGAAAGCCAGTTTGCAGAGGAAGAGTGGAGGCTTCATCTAATGAACAGAGCATAAGGAGAAAAGCCCAGGAAAAACAAGGTGATTTTGTAAATGTCTTATAGAAGGCCATATCCCTGGAGGCCCAACTGAGTGCTTCCCCCTCAGTTTACTAGCCCATTACTATTCTGGAAAGTTCCATTTTCTTAATAAATTGTCTCTATTTCTGTTTTTAACCCTGTATCCCTGTTGCAATATTTTATTCTGCAACACGACTCAGGAGCCTGCGATGGGGTACCTCTGAATTCAACCTGCAGACCTGCACAGGGCCTGCTTTCCCTTTTCTCTTTTTCAGATACCAGCCAAGAGCCTGTGCATACTTCCCCTAGTGTTC